GGCGTCTCTGGGGATGCGAGTTATCAATAACAGTAAACGTGGTGCGAAAACGTGCCATGGTTAATCGATGGACGATTTTGTCGACGATAAAATGGACGTAGTGCACGATACGTATTCCGCACAGAACCATTATTTTCGAAATAAAATTGCACTATTTGCAAGCGTTGTTCAGGCGTGAGTCTATTCATAATGAACTGCCAAACCAAACTGAGAATAAGTCACTTGACATCTTGAACAGTAATGCCAACTTCAAGTTCTATACATCGAAAATAGTAACCCTGTACATGTAATTAACGATGAAGACATAATCTTATCAATAATCATATTAAAATATAAAATCAACGAACATATCTAAAACAGACTTGACTTGACTACAGAACAACCACTCTTCTCGATGTTATATTGAAAAAAAGGTTCCACGTGTAAACTAAACATAAATTGGAATTATTCTGCTTTATAAATGCCCAACTAACAACGGGTAATTAAAGTTCGATATCAATAGAAAATTTGCCGATATACCGAACATTCGCGTCAAAACGCGGGAAACGTTAATGAACCTTTGTTGAAAGTCGCTCAACGATCCCGATTCAATCTACTGTTAATCAACTGACCCGGCCGCGCCTAAACAAATCAAAGAAATCGTATATCTCTCATATATAGACGCGTTAAGTTTCGTCCATTCACAAAAATCGATTGGGCCCGATACCTTTTTTTAGATTTTAGTGTCTGGAAACATCGTCAACTTTAGTACCATTTCCTGCTTTAATAGATTTTATCGATTCAGAAAGTATTTACTTTGGCCGTGAAAGCGAACTCCGAGTTTCGTTTGTTTCGATTATAGAGCGTGTGTTCGGAAAATTGTTAAATAAACCAAAAGGAAACCTATAACCACACAAACACTAATTTATCAATGATGGCCGCTTGTCACGTAGAACTTGATCAATATTAACTTCGAAATATTTGAAATCATTAGCATATTTCCGCATACGGTAGTCGGCAACTTTCGCATGACCTTTGGGACAGGGTTGCAAGATTACTACTATCAATCTTCATGTAAATACGAACAGTGCAAAAGAGAATGCAATTTGTGGCATAATAATCGACCTAGTTAATACTTGGGATATTTGACATTTCTAATAGCAATTTCTAAAAGTAAACCCATTTGAGGTAAATAGATACATCTGGCAACCCTGTCGAATAAGGCGTGCGAATTGTGCGAAAAATCCCCAGTCTTTAACGGTGCCGTTTGCAAACTTGCATGTTATGTAAAATTATGATTTCTTTTCCTTTTTTTTCCTTTTGTGCCTTTTTATTGTTGAACAAGCTTCCGCTCCTTCTCTTGTAAAGCCTTACAACAATCTTCGCCACAGAGGTGATTAACTTTCTAGATATTCAGTCACCGATTCTCTGGTTGATATATTTGTTGCTCCGTTCTATTGTATTTTTGTTTTAAATTTACATTTACTTATGTTGTTTGTTGTACATATTCCTATAACGTATTTGCGGGTCTCTATACGCATTAGTTTTATTTCGATTTTAGAGGTTTCAATACTGTGTGTAAATAATAATAGAGAAGTAGATATGTATTCAGTTAAAACCAATATTATAAAATTGTTCTACATTCGTCAATTACAAACAAACAAAGAATTAAAATGCACACATAATACAGATATAAGTGAATGTTCCCATTTACCAGTTATCAAATCAGAAATATATTACTACTTAATTTGTATGCCAGCTTATAAACATTTTTTCCAGAATAATATTGGTTCCTAAGCGAAACAAGATAGTTTACTTCATCCCCGTTATTATGGGTATGGTCTGTTCATAGATATAAGAAAGTGGCCAATTGCTTTTGAGTGGGATTATCCAAGGGTTGTCATTAACATATAATGCAACCAGATTATTACCTAAAGTTTCGGAATTTAAATTCAGGTAAAATTGTGGTCCGTAATAGAAAATAATTTTATATCTACCTGTGTTTAATATTCTTTGGTTTGGTATACTACTTAGTTTAATTTTATTTAACTTAATTAGTAATCAAGATATAATACGGCGTAAAATTTACCAGTTATACGAGGAACAGCATGCTTACATTAGATATCTTAATTAGGAGGCTTGAAAAAGATGAAACCGGTGTTAAATGTGGCAGAAATACCTTATGGAAGTGTATTCAACACATGGGTTTTAGATTTTAAAAAATTGACAAGAGGCAAGTTTTAATGGAATCTTTTAGAATTGGAAAATGGCTACTGGAATATCTAGAAAAAATTAGGATTTACAGAGAACAACAAAGGCCAATTATTTACTTGGATGAAACCTGGTTCCACACTTATGGTACCTCGGAAAAGGGATGGGTTGACTCAACTGATAAGTGTAAAACAAACGCGCAATCAAAAAGAGGTAAAAGAATAACTGTTTTGCATGCTGGCTCTAAAGATGGTTGGATTCCAAATGGACTTTCTCTGTCTGCGAAAAATATTAAAGATTCTTCTCTGGATTACCATAAAGACACCGCCGCTGATTTATTTGAAAGTTGGTTTAAAAACAAACTAGATCCAAACATTCCTCCTAATAGCGACATTGTAATGGACAATGCAAGTTATCACAGTAGACAGTTAACTAAAACCCCTTCCTTGTGTAACACAAAAGCAACAATCCAAAACTGCATGCATAATAACGACATTTATTTTTACGAAGATTATACCAAAAAGCAATTAATTGAGGTTCTACAAAGCTTGAACCTACAAAATGAATACGTCTGTGACAATTATGCAAAAAATCTAGGGCATACGGTTTTAAGGCCTTACCACCTTACCACTGTATATTTAGTCCCTTTGAACATGTTTGGCACCAACTGAAATCTGCCATTCGCCGTAACAATGTTTTTCCCCGTGTTAACTCCAATGTCCTCAAACTTATAGAAACCGAAGTTTCTAACATCCCTCCACAAAGTTGGGCAAATTCTGTTAAACATATAGAAAAAGCAGAACAATCGTATATCCATATTGCAAATAATATAGAACAAATAATAATTAGAACAGGCGATGATAGCGATAGTGATACTGATATATTTTGTGAATAATTTTAAGTAATTTAACTAGTTAATAAAAATAATTTGTAACTTTGTTTTAGATTTAAACATAAATACATAAATAAATGAATAAATATTGTTTAGTATCTTTCCTTACAAAACCCCAAATAATAAAATTCTAAGCAAAGTAGGAACCTGTTCGGCCATATTTCATTCTTACAGCTTGCCCGGGTCTTTCCTTAATTCGTATCAGTTAGTCATTTTCTTATATCTATGAACAGACTTTATTTGCCTGTTAATGGAGCATTTTCTATATTTAGAAATAGTTCTTAAACCAAGAGTCGGCCGTATTCGTTCATCGCTGTCTCCTACAAAAATCAACATCAACGTGTAGTGATATGTTTATACCTAAATATTCGACATCCAAAGGTAATAGGTGTTTTAGATATTGTAATTTCTACATGTCATCTTTGTATTTGTGCCATGCGCGAAGAAAGTGTTTTGGATGTGCGGTCCCACTATATTAAGCCAAAGCCACATCATATAGCTCAGCATATTATATTTATTAACTTGTGTATTATGTGCAAACTTTTGAATTTAAAAATTTTAAATAGTACGACATATTGTAAATTTCATATTATTTGTAAAATTTTTGCCAGAATTTTCGCAATGATGATATATTTTATGAAAGAGATCCAAACTTGACCGAAGCGACGCTTGACCAAGCCATGAATTTTACACTCATATAGCCCCGACAGGAAAAGAAATTTAAAATAGCAAAAAAAGGTTGTAAATTAAGAGATCCAAACTTGACCAAAGCGACGCTTGACCAAGCCATGAATTTTACACTCATATAGCCCCGACAGGAAAAGAAATTTAAAATAGCAAAAAAAGGTTGTAAATTATGACCATATTAAGGTTAATCGTCGAATATTAAGGTTTTATAATTAAAGCCCGTTAGACTGGATGCAACATCCGCATTTTTATCAGATACAATTGCTGTTAAAAATGCATATAGTTTTAACCGGCAACCCAGCAAAATATGAATGATTATTTTTGTGGAAACTTGTTTTTGAAGGTTGTCTTTTTAACTCAATATAATAGTTTTTAACGCCACAATGTATTTACCACACACACTTGTGGACATATAGCTGTTAGATGATATAGTGGCCCTACTTGATATTTTTGTAGAGAAGGTAATGTTGTATGTAGAGAAGGTAACTCACTAACTTGCATTTTCCGCCATTTTCTCGATAAACACTTATTTACACACACTTAAGTCGTCTCCCCAAGAACATTTAACGAGATTTAGGCATATTTTGAGAAAATACTGCCGAAAATTCCGCGTCCAAACTTCTTGACGATTTGTCAGCGGCCATGCTGTTGTTGAGTAGCACATGGTCGTTCGTTAAAAACGAGATTTTTAAATCTCGCGCGCATGTTGAATGGTTGCTTTATTATCGGCATAGACAGGGCCTCTATAGCTCTAGTATATGCTTGAGGGGATACAAAAAGTGAGAAAAATGGAAATGTTTGAATTGCTTAAAAAAATCTATTGTCTGCATTTTGCCTAGGAGGTGTGAATTTTACCTGAATACCTTCTCCACTTAGTTTTTTCTGTTCGATGTTTAATATTCCATAGTATTGAGAGGTGTAACTGAATGGCTTTCTTCGTAAAAGTATTTATGTTAAATATACGTATTTAAACTGCCAATGGTCAAATGGTCATTTTTAGTGATTTTGATTATATTTGGATTTTTTATCGACCCTTGGGTTTTTAAAAACAAAATTCTTGAGCCGACTTTCACACACAACTTCGGGAAAAAATAGCCGGTAGTACACAAGTTGCAAGTGTAATAAAAATCAAACTATACAGACATTAACTACAATTATTAATTTCAGCGAAGCTATAGTTATTGGCACCAATTAATGGAACTACTTCAAAGTTGTTTTTTTTTATTTGTAGGGGCGTGTTACGCAGAATTTGGTGTTCGAGTCCCTCACACGACGGGATCGGCCTATATGTACTCGTACGTTACAGTAGGTGAATTCGTAGCCTTCATTATAGGATGGAACATGATCTTAGAATATTTAATAGGCACGAGCGCGTGCGCGTGCGCGCTCAGCGCCTGCTTTGATGCGCTTTCGAACAAAGCGATTACGGAAGCGATGCACACAAGCGTCGGGGATTTTTTCGGTAGGCCTGGATTTTGTTTGAAAACCGTTTGTCCACCATATCGGTTTCAGGACGAGATCCCGACTATTTAGCGTTCGTTATAACCCTTTTTATGACGGTGGTGCTGGTCGCCGGCGTCAAGAAATCCCTGATATTCAACAACATCCTCAACGTTATCAACTTTTCCGTATGGGTTTTTATTATGACTGCGGGATTATTTTATGTTAACACGGATAACTGGAGTAAACACGGGGGGTTTTTGGCACAAGGCTGGCCAGGGGTAAGTGTTGGGCAAAAAAATATTAATATTAAATATTAAATTGTTGTGTATGCGGGCTGTTTGTATTTTCGTTGGCAAGTAACAACCTTCTTATTTTATATTTAAATAAATCCTACCGTTTTTGAATCATTTGGAATTCCATGTCAAAAATTATTTTTTTGCACGTCTAAATTGTCTATCGATTTCTCCGACTAAAAACTTTCATTATATATTTTGGGTTGATTTACTATAATAATAATAATAATAATTAACGAAAAAGTGACTACAACATTAAAAATTTAAATTCAAAAGACCTTAAAAGTTATTTGGTCAAAGAGAAACACCCCATTTTTATGTCATCCTATTTAACATTTAAAAAAAAGGGGGGGGGGGGCTTTGTATAAGGTGCCTTATTTCAAAAATTGTAGATACATCTAGCTATATAGAAATATTAGGAATAAAGCGTTTTTCGATTTTAAAAATACTGGGCTATTAACTGGCTAATCGAGCACTGATAGCTACTATTACCATCGTTTGACAATTTTGTTAATAAAAAGATTCTTGTAGGTAATAATAATATAAATATAATAAAACAGCCTCCTTTAGACTATATTTTCGACAAACATTCAAAATTATATTAATCTGTTTTTCTAAAGCAAAAAAAATACACCATAATAAAGCATAATTACTTCTTAATTAATATTATCATTAATTAAAAATGTTTAAATTAAAGGGTAAAGATGAAAGCGAACCCTGGCGACAGTTAAATGATAAATGTGAAAATGAAAATTTACATCCTTAATATAACTTAAATCCCTGTCGTTATTAACTCCATTTGCGACAATAAAAACCGTAACGGCAATTTCTGCCGAAGAAAAATCGATAACAACCCCAGTAAAAAATTGATGATTACAGCCGGGGTTGCGAACGACGTCAAAAATATACCGGAATTTTTCAGACCACAGGTTTTAATTACCCCGCATCCACCGTGCCGGGATATTTTATATTCATATTATTCAGGATCCGGTTAAAAATGTTTTAATAAAAGATATTTCGGACTATTTCTGAATTAAAAATGATTATAGCAAAAAAGGTCGGAATATTCAACGAATTTCTAAATACCGATATTAACGGACTACAAATTTGGTGGTGGGTGTTCCGTATGGCACGATAAAATCACAAAAGTGGTTAAACGAAATATCGATAATTGTTGAGGGCACAAACGAAAGTCATCAAAAATTAACGTTGTATGAGCTTTGGGTAATTAGAAATAGTTTGATACAAAGGAAATGTACAAAAACATTTGAAAGTATAATTTAATATGTGCACTTTATTTTATAATTTTGTAACGAAAAGTATTGAATTCGCAAATGCAATAAATAATGCGTTTTAAGAAAATGGTCAAAATATATTGAAACGTCAGCATCAGCACAGAAACCTTCTGATTTTACGTATTGCGCAAAATGTAGATATAATCAAAACATGCAATCCAAGAGTTTTGGTTAATATACTGGGTGCTAATTTAAATGTCCCACACTTCACAGGTTTAATTATAAAATATGTTTAAAGTAAAAAGTTACTATGTGTAAAAATAAGATCGAAAGGTGTCAAAATTTTATTTATATTTTTTTGGGGAGAACGTTTCTAACACTTATTGTTATTTTGACTTTCATCTGGTTATTTTGTTGATTGGAAAAATTATTTTACAAAACAGATAAAACAGAGTGAATTATCCATTTTTTTTTATTATAATACAGGGTAGTGCAAAAAGATGCAAGTCTTATAAAGTGATGAAAATTTCTTATGTCAAAGTATCGGAATTTTTTATAAAAAAGCAAAAATTAAAATTAAACTTTGACGCACCTTGCGAAATTTCGGACACTTATTAAATAAGGCCCTGTATAACGTCTTTAAATTTTTTAACACACACCTCACTAACTGCGAGTCGTCTTTATTGAAATATCCTATATAATAAATTTTGACAAACCGCCTGGTTGGTTAGTTTGTAATTAATTATTTGCTAACCCAATTAAATAATTTCTATGTTTCTTTGGCAATAGGTTTAGAACTGTACAGAGGTGTTGCTTAGATGTATGTAGTTTCAAAATTCATTTTATTTATTTTCTTTAATAATTCCGTGTATTTCTATATGGCTTGAAAACACTTAAATAAAATTTGTACCATTGGTTTACTCCTTGGAAAAAGTTGAAAAATTTCCGATAACAGGTCTTTACCGGTGCTGCGACCTGTTTCTACGCCTTCATAGGTTTCGATATAATCGCTACCACAGGCGAGGAAGCAGCGACTCCCAAGAGGTCGATACCATTGGCGATAATCTGTAGTCTTGGGATTATCCTTATAGCCTACGTAACCAGTTCTATGATGATAACCCTAATAGGTAGTATTTTTTTCAATAGAACTGAAAACTTTTCATACGTTTTCCCACACCATTTCAGTACCATGGAAAGAAGTGGATCAGGATTCAGCTTTAGTCGAGATGTTTGGTTACGTGGGAGCATATAGGTGTAAATATATCGTCGCGGTAGGTGCACTAGCTGGACTAACAGTATCAATGTTCGGCTCGATGTTTCCGATGCCCAGAATTATCTACGCCATGGCCCAAGACGGGCTAATTTTTAAGTAATTTAACGGTTACTTCTCTAGACCATGACTAAAAGCTCAGATTTACAGGATATTTTCCCAAGTATGGCCGAGCACGGGAACGCCAGCTCTGGCCACATTTTGTAGCGGGTTAGCTGCTGCATTAGCAGCACTTTTTATACGATTAGAAATACTTGTCGAAATGATGTCTATAGGTGAGTTTATTACTCGTAATACAACGTCAGCAATAAAAAAAAACTAAATATTTACAGGAACACTCCTCGCATACACCTTAGTATCAACATGCGTTTTAATTCTCCGTTACCAACCGCATTCTACCAATTTGGTGGAACTTCTTCCTCAGAGTCTTAGAACACCTCTAAGAGGTTCACCGACTAAGGATGGCATCCAACAAAATCCAAATGGTGTGAGGCACCTTTACGGCAATCAACTAGAACCAGACGCCTTGAAGCAAGCCATCGACGCCACATTAGGTCCTCCTGGTGCACCCACCCCTTCACCATCGCCGCTACCCACTCAGTCTACGCAAAGAGTGATGGTGAGAAGAGTAACGAGGAGGTAAATCGGATACGCCAGCAGTTTTCGTGTTGTAACGAACAACCATTTTAGATTTTTCTTTGTGGACAGAAGTTAGATGAATTTAAATATTTTTGTTACATATCTTTAAAAGTAAGCGCGCTAGAGTAAATAATATTTTTACATTTTTTCGCACCTTCTCATCCAACAGAATAAATGTAATGTATCAATAGAAAATCACACCTAACACTGGGTCAATATGTTTACAGAAAACACACATACCGATACCTTAATGCATTATCACATCACCATGCGTCCCACAAATCATCCGTTATCCACGCTCTGGGTTACAGAGCCGTAAAATTATCTCAACCTGACTCACTATCAATATGCTATATATCTACCCAAATAGCATATAATATGTGAGTGTACCTTTTAGACTGCATATCTTTTTTGATTCTAGACTTCTTTTGTTATCTTATTGTTTAGTTTTTGAAAACAAAAGTAAAATCTACTTTCTCTTCATGTTTTTTTAGCAGTTAAATTTAGCAATACAAAACTAAACTAATTTTTTATTTAAGTAAGCAATATTAGAGAAAATCGCCCAGAACAAAATTATATTTTTAGCTATATATTTGCATAATTTAAAAAAATATGTCATTTTTTTTTCAGAAAAGTATTTTCTGAAAATCACCCCCCCAAAAACAAAGTATTAATTTTAGGAATCAAATTTTCACATTAAAATGGTTGTTGGGTTATTTCATTAAACGTTTTCCCTATTTTTTAAGGCTTGTTTCATCTTGATAGTAGGTATCATCATATGCAAAAAAAAGTAATAAAATTTTTAGGTTGACAAAAAATATTGCATGAAAATAGGCCTTTACTGTCAAACTGAAAAGTCAAATTTGGCCTAGTTTGTTTTGCGCGCTATAGCACCTACTCTCATAAAAGAGATCTTACCAATGAGAGTTCTGGACGTAGGAGGAATCCAGGTTTTGTAAAAAGAATGTGATAATTCAATAGCTGCTTGGCTGAAAAGAGCCAAGGAGCGTGAGCAATGTTTTAAACTTCCTGCTTCCACCAAAGAATGACAGAAAACCTGTATAATATTTTTTATTCTTTTGGAGTTTAGTTCAAGATATAGTACCTTACTCTATATTTGCTCGTCCGAATATATATTTAAGATAATTTAAGTTAGGTTGTTCTATATTTTTGATATATTATATACCTACAATTTTTTCATATATACAATAGAAAAAAAAAGACGTATTTAAAATGTGTTTTATTAATGATTTAAATTGGCAGTCCTTCCCTTTTACCATCAGAAGCAAAATTAAAGATTAAATATTATTGGGAAAAAAAATTATGCATTTGAAATATTGCCAGTGATGACTTCGCAAACCATACCCAACAGATATACCCTACGCACAGTAACATCGTATATCCTTGAGACGTCTTAAGGATGTCCCTTAACTGAAACTTAATTGTTTTTAGAAACAAACTAATATTTTTGCTGACATAACTATGAAAATCTGAAGAGAATATCTATAATTTTAAAAGATTCTTTGAACGGGTTTAGGATGGGAAGCGTCTTAGATCAGTATCTCAATGCAGAGTGTTAATTCTGATAATTATAAAACAATTCCTTACCATAAAAAAACTGGTCTATGATAGAAGTAGAATTACTGAAACAGAATTTAATTATAAGTTGATATTATGTTTTTTGAGAGACACGCATCTTCCAAATTAATATATTTTCCACTGCGATTGAGCTTCCACCAAAATGTTCGTATCTAAGAGCGCTTACAGAAGTTCAATCAGTCAAATTTTCCTTATATTCGTGCAAACGTAGCACAAAATCGACTTCTAACCTATTGCAGTTCCCCAGACAGCGACGATACTTTTGGTGGCGACGAACCAGAAGAGGATTTTTCCATGAGGGACGATCAGTTTTTGGTGTCGGATAGAACCGAAAACAAATTTTACGGTAAATGCGGTTAAACAAAAGGCAATCATGTTTACTGAATTTTCCGCGGTTCTTTGCAGGAACACTTCATGGAGCTGGAAGCGCTACTAGTACGGGAGGTGTGGTAGGATCGACCGTTGGTCCGAGTCTTGGTTATATCGGACGTAGATTGCAGGTAGAAATCTTATTTACACCATTTGTAGATTTTAAGTTGCAACTCATTTTTAAATCTTTTAAATTAGGAGTAAATAGTATTACAGTATTCTAGTATGAACTCCCTACTCAGTGTCAGCTTTATATCGTAAATAATTATAAACAAAATAAATCATCCTTATGAATGAAAGCGCTTTCTAGATTTGCTGAATATTAACGATAATTAGAACATCGCGTACTTTAAGGTGAATGGGAAGAAAACATTTAGCCGGTAGGATGTCGAACTTCCATTGTCTTTATTTTTAACTTACACATCGTTTCGGACAGTTGTATCACTACCCGTTATCAAGTGTAAACTCAGTTTACACTTGATAACGGGTAGTGATACAACTGTCCGAAACATTTTGTAAGTTAAAAATAAAGACAATGGAATTTCGACATCCTTTTAGTATTTCTACTGAATCAGTGTCTACCACCTTCAAGTAAACATTTAGCCGGTTGTAGGACGACAGCAAAACAAAATGAGGTTCAGTTTAGGTATTTTTTAATGACAAAAAAATATAATATCGATATGGAAGTTAATTACTCATTTATCTCATTTACAACAAACGAATTACTTTAAGGGTAATAGGGAACTTGAATATTTTTTTATTTCGTTAATGCATTTGTTTATGTATAAAAATAACGGCATACCAAATATCAAAACGCAAAACCCAATATGTAAGTTGGAATAAATAATTCAAATTGTGACACCCAGCTATTCCTTTTAAACGACACTAAACGTGGGGAACGATCGTGACGTCATACCGCTACTTTTCGATCGATACGGCGATGTGTTATAAGTGTTGTTCTCTGGTTATAGGCCGAGAATTATATTACTTACCTTTATTTTTGACTGGTGTAAAGTGTGTTTGTATTTAATCTACGCCAGTTTGGTTAGTTTTTGTGTGTTATATATAATAATAATAATAATATTGGAAGCATCACAAAAACAATATTAGAGATCGTGCCAGCGTGTTTAAGTACAACACGTAAAACGTCAGATAAACTTTTTATTCGTCTACTGGAAAATAAAATCCGTCGTTTTTTGTTAACAATATGTTCAGATGTCACTTTAGCATTAATCGTCCAAACATTTTTAACTATCAAAAATGCACCCATCCCATTGCAGTCTCCAAGTTATAAATGCCAATATACCTTAAAATCAATATTTAGATTTCCACTAATTAAAAAAAATCATTACATTACAATATTACATTGGTTTAAAACTAGTTGCTAAATTTTATAGGAACGCACGTTTTAGCTTTAACAAAGCGAACATCGGTAAAATAAAAACTTTCGGTGTTTTGTATGTAAGATGTCACCATAAACATATCCACTAAAGGTATAAATCGGCTTCGGTCTTTTTCAAAACTTTCTTTTTGATACTGAACCCCAAGACAACAAAAACAAGCAACAGGATCAACACTAAATGGCTACCCCCGGCTGGCGCGTAGTCTAACTAGCGAACTGACGTCACAACCGGTCATAGCCAATGACTTATATTTTTTACATGGCACTACGAAATTATTTTTTGTTTTGTGAACTGTGGTTCTGTTAATAGTAAGTTCCATATTGTTGATTTATTTTTGAGAACTCTTACAATAACTTAACCCTAAATAGTTACCCCCAAATTAAAATTTTTTTATGATATAGGACAGAAATGTTGTAATCTGTGTTGATTTTTATAAATTTTTAAAACGGAAGTATCTTCATATACTATATCTCTATTTGTAAAGCTTGTTCGCTGTTTAATATGTGGCAGTTTGTTTAAATTATATACTGTGGATTTAATATTTCTTAAAAAGGGAAGTTGACTGCTGCTGACCTATAACCCACTAACTGTTTTTTTTTTAATTTTCGACTTTTAAAATCGTTAGCTTAATTTTCCATTTTCCGCCATATTGTAATTTTTTGTCAGTTTTTATTACCACTTGTTGTTTTATGGCGGATAAGTTATGGGAAACCCTACATAATTTTAAATTAGTTGTGACAACCACTAAAAAAGGTCAATAACTACATACATCATTTTTTTAGGCAGCCACGTATTTGTGCCCATCAATATTTCCGTGGGTCGATACCGGACCGGCGACAGAAGAGTCCGGAATGTTCGTCATGAAGATGGTGGGAATCCTGTACCTGTTGATTATTATTTTCGATTTAATCATAGTGTACGGGATTGATAACATGAACACAGCGACGAGCATTTTCATGTGCCTCTTTCTGTTAAGTATCGTCGCGCTGCTATTGGTTATTTCGAGAAAGCCCCAAAATAGGTAATGTTAGTATATACAATGAAAACGATACATGTGAAACAAACCTCTGGGCAAAATTAACGCACAGTCTTTTAATAATCTTTAATACCACATTTTATCGGAACGCAATGGTATAATACGACCAAAAATATAGTGCATTTATTGACCGTAACGAATATTTGTTGAATTTTTTATTTGAAACGTAAATGGATCGTTTTAAATTTGGTTAAGCATTGATGCTGCGGGTATTTTCGAATAAGTAGAAACGTTTATTTTAATATCAGATAATATATATCGTTCTTAAGAGTTTAACCTAAATTCCAATATGTTGGTATATATTACGGAGGTATTTTACTGTGATCCTTATTTATATACCTGATTCTCGAGTTTTGACTCTGCGTGGCTGTTTTCACTGGATATTTCAAAGAGTAAGGGTAAGTACCTGTACTCTATTTATCTTACACATAAGTTCGAAAATAATCATTTTTGTCTCGTGTGCCTGTCGATTAACAACAGTCTTCTTCTTGTATTTTTGTGTCTTCTACATAGTTCTTCGATTTGTCAACAATAGTCTTCTTTAAGACTATAAATCATATTCGCGTAGATAAAGGTACCTGTTTTTTAACTCTATAAAATGTGGAGACCGTGGAATGAAGCAGATGTTCTCCTGTTAGGGGAAGACATGGAAAACAATGACAAATTTGAAGACGAAGTGGAGGTTGTAGTCGAACCTAATGACAATTTATAAGACGAACTACCTAAGTAAATAAAAAAAGCGGATCCATTTGTCTTACTTCCTTTGTTTGCTAAACAAATTGTTTTGAATGTTTACAATTTTATAAGGGATTCAGAAGGGGAAGTACTAGCAGGAATAAAAACAAGTGACATGACCAAAGTTCCGAAGTCAACTGCAAGGACAATTGTTGCAAATGTGATAACCAACCGAAAAGTGAGAGAAAATGTTGTTACTTAGTTAGGCGTATAATCTACGACGCTTATAAAGTGAGTACTGTTTTAACCCTAAAAATAAAAAAGTACTGACAGACTCAAACATTAGTTGTGCCGAAGATCGTTGGGTACTTTTTTGAAGAAAATGGATTTTCAGTTCCACACAATTAATAAACGTGACGACAGTAGCGAAAGTTACTATTATTATTATATTTAATATTTTGCATATTAATAATGATACTATGTAGAAATGTAATGAAATAGAACATAATAAATTTTGTACTAATTTGTTTATGTACATGTTGCTCGGGGAAAAAGATTGAAAACATACTTATATCCCGCTTGTTAGCGTAAGGGCTGCGGTTTTGCAGTAATAAACACTAGGCAAAGTTAATCACGGGGTCGGTTGTAAAAGCACTATATTTCTGGTTGAAGTATATCTTTCCCCTCATAATATTGTGAAAACCGAATCCTTCTGTCTGGAAAGGTTCTTATTTTTCCAGAAAAAAAGATAAGTATCGATAATATCGGTATCGATAATTTTTGTTTCCTTGCAGAAGCACAATTTTGTTTATGACTCCCGGCCTACCTTTCGTTCCGGCCATAGCGATAACTGTGAATATCTACTTAATACTAAAACTATCGAAACTCACCCTTGTTCGATTCACCATATGGATGACACTGGGATTTATCATGTATTTCTACTACGGAATCAAAAATAGTACGTTGGAGGAACAGCCAGACGCGGACGGCAACATCGAACTGACCGTAACTGATCACGAAAAAGCCAAGTTCAATAACAGCACTTCGCCCTACAATGCTGATCAAAACATTTTCAGGTAAGCGCCGTCGGGTTGTCAGGATATTACTCAGTTTCAGCGTCAAGGAGTAGTGGTTGGGAAAAGACATAGTTTTCACGTTAAATTTTCTTTTTTAACACAGTGTTCTAGTTTTTACTTCGGCAAGACTATTGGACGGAAGTATTTCTGGGACCAACCAAAAAAGTAAAAACGAACTTTTATCTATTTTTCTGTAGTGTTATTTAAATACACTCCCAATTTTAAGTGGGTGTTTTTTTTCTAACAATTTAAGACTTAAATGGCAGCTCTCAAAAAAGCAGTAAATCATTAGCAAGGAAGAAATATTTGATATTATACTTAAATCAACGATATAGCGTTCATATACTGCCTGTTTTAGAAAACGTTTAAAACACTACCAAATTTAAGTGAGATTCTATTTCTTTTTAAACCTTAAGATTTATAACTCTTGGGAGAGCAGAGAGGTCATAGAGAAAAATCCCTGCCATACATGGCAAAAAAATCACTACAAATTATATCCAAATCCACCATATGGCCGATATATACTGCGTGTTTCAAAAAACGTTATAAACTTTTAATTTGTGTCATTTGAAAACACTACCAAGTGGGGTTCTATTTTTTTGTGATGAAAAAACTTTCCAATCATTTCTGGAGTAAATAGAATATTAAAAAATGGCGTCAGTTTTGCTTAGTTTTTAATCAGTTTGCCATAAAAAAAGTCACAAAAGTTTTGCAGTTATTAGCAGCAAGTAATGGTGACTGCATTAATGAATTATCTTCAGTAATTTTACTTAATTAACTTAAACTAACGTTATGTTCTAAAACCTATTTCAAAAGTATATAGAATAATAGAATGTATGTATAGTAAGTATGCAAAGGATTATAGAGTGACGAAACTAACTGGAATTTCATTGTAAAGTTCTTTCCCTCTATAGGGTATAAGTTTGGGTCAGTTTACCCAAAGGGTCCGGTAGGATATTCGTAACCAGGAAAGAACTTTATTTTGTTGTTTATATAGTACTAAGTACCCTTATTTTTTATTAGCAATTATTCAAAAAAATTAATTAAATAATAAAAAATCATAGTATTCTCCGTCATACACAATTTTGTTACTAATCTTATAATAACGTGAAGACTACAGCTTAATGACAAATACTGATGCGGTAATCTAAACAAATATATTTATAAACGCGCTACTGTGTGTTTGAATTACACTGGTTAAGTAAGTATATCAGATGGTAAATGGTCAAAAATGACTACAAAGTCTATTTATTGGCATCGGATTTGCAATAGGGATCGAAAATTATTTTATTGTTCCAAGTTTACCCATACTTCTACGGACGTTACCAAAACTGAGTGTAATAGAAACTTTTTTGAAATTGTCCATAATATTCTATTTATCCTAGAAATTAGCGAAAAGTACCCTGTAGAAAATGTAATAGTTAGTAATTGTATGAATTAAACGCTTTGAAGTGCTTGTAGGTAATGAATTCTGAATGGAATAATCTGAAATATTTCGAAAGTCTCAAGCTGTTTGATACAGCGTTGGTTTGGACATATGTAATAGTTATCAGCTATCATTTAGACCACAATTTTGATTCAATTGTAATTTGTTTGGTCTTCTTTGAATATAACTTCATCGGTTAATTATTTTCCGACAGTCAGGATCAACCGACTTACGATTGGAATCCGAACACCACCTGGGATCACCAACCTTCCTGGGCCTTGCCCCCTCAACCCCAAGCCAACTCTTGGGGCCAACAGCAGTACCAAGTGGAACAACAATACAACGTAGAAACCAATAACACGAGGTCCGTGATAAGCAACATTGCCAAATCCACGAACCCTTTTAACAGTGGCGTCGGCGAGAAGACTACAGCTGAAGTGACGAAAAGAGGTACGGTCGCTCCTGCGGCGGGAGGAAGTATGTTCGTTAGCGACCCATTGGCGTTCGCTAATTGGGACGACTAGTCGCTGAAGATGTCCCCACGTTTTGTTGTTGAATAATTTTAGATAATAAAGTTTGAAACGGTTTGCGGTTTTGGAGGTGTGGTACCCGTAAAAGGGACGACAATTTATCCGATGTTACGCACATTATTTAACTGTTCCCTGTATAGTGTTGATAACCTTCCAAGTCTCTTTTTTTTCAATAAATCGCCATATTTCCGTAAAATAGGTTTGAAAAACTTCCCTCATGCGTCTCAAAATAACAGACATGATTTAATAATTATAGTAATGAGCGTACAGAGAAAGTGAGATTATTTTAGAAAATATATTCCGGCACAGATTGGTTAAATCGAGCTGTGTATGAAAAAATTTATTGAAATTACTACTTAGATAGGGTATCTAATTTTAGAAGACATATAACACTGCAACATTTATTATAGAATTGTAAGATAAGGTACAGGGTGATCCGTAATTGTGAATGATCCAACCCAATAATAGTAGTGCACACACTTTGTGGCCATATAGATATTGATGCTTAAAAGCAACGTTAATATATAAAAAAAAGTGCTTCACTAAGGAGAAATCAAATAAAGTGTAATTCCACAAACACTGATTTTTGATGAAAAAAATTTGATCCTAATTATCATATATATTTGAAAATAGAGAAAAAAAAAAGATTGGACTAAAATAATCCACATACTTGCGGATACGCGTTTCTCCTATTAAAATAAAAAAAAAATAGTATCTTAAAAATTACTGAAAATCTAAACCCAAATTTGTGATAAAATACAATTACGGACCACGCTAATGTTAGCCGTTCTAGTGATTCTTACATATTTTTGCGTAGACAGTAAAGTTTGAGTTTGACCTGGGTTTCCTTAAAATGATAGAAAGTGCCAAAATTTCGACATTTATAATAAGTAATTGAGTGAAACAAAATTCTAAATCGCCTAAAATATCTATTTGTTAAGGGAATATGTAATCATTGCAGGACTGTATAAAAGTATTGCGACAAAACTAATAACATATCACAAGCAAAATATTTTAAATGATTTGCCTTAACAATAATATTGCAGGGCTCCTGGCATAGAGTCGCCTCAAAAATTGAAGTTAGCATTTTTTTAAGCTTTATTTGTACTCGATATTTGTATTTGATAGTCCCCGCACGTTTTTAAAGCAGTATTTCAATTTCGATGCCTATATTATACCAAAGTTGGTAAGTGTGAGATTGAAGAAGCATATTTTCAAAATTCATGCTCGATTTTTGTGTTTGTTACACCCTGGCCACATGTTTTAGATGAGGCGCTTACGTAGGGCGTTCACGAAGAGAAAAAGCAAAAAAAAAGTAATTGCGATCATCCTGCGTAAGAATTTTAAAAATATTGTGATACTAATTTAAAAGAATGGGTCTCAGTAGTTTTAGCTTTAGTTGTACGTATAAATTTTAGAAATAGTGTTGAAATAAAAAATATACCAATAACTTTTACAGGGTAGATCCCAAAATGCACATAACATCTCTTGGTTGGAACTCAACTGTCAATGAAAACAAATAATAAAATATTTATCAGATGTCAGGCCTAATTTTCATGTTTTCATTCAAAAGTATGTTAAGAATAGAAACTAACGAGATAACCTATGATGATTTATCTCAATCTACCCATATATTGCACAGACGGTTTTGATCTTTTTAATATACTTTGCGCATATATTCAAATTTAGAACAATTAGTGCTTTGAGAAATACGAGATGTTACATTCAATTTTCAGTCTTTCTATAAATAAGGTAAGGTAAGGTTGTATTACGTTACATGAAGCTATGGGTGTTTTGGTTGTGTAGTAGTTATGTAGTACGTATTAATGAATATTCGACACTGACGTGGTGCAAGGTATTTTAAGGGTCTTTTGTGAGGTTTTGAAAAGGTTCCCAATTTTAAAAAGTGCAATCCGTAAGGGTCTTCTAAAATTATTGCTGGGAAATATTCTTTAAACTTAGTTGACTATTAAAAAGTACAAATGATAAAAAAGGCCGGCGGACGCTTGTTCCACAAATTACAGCACCTGCCATGTTTATAATCAAATTTTAAAAATATCCCCTCCAACTGTTAGAAATACTAGAAGATTGTCGAACATTGCCCTTAATTTTTGTTTACACAAAGTTTAGAGTTGATGTTTCAGTACCCGTTATCAAGTGCACACTAATTGTAATTCTAAGGCTTATATACTAGACTACAAAGACTACGGAGTCGGGCACAGCCAAGCGTTAAGTTTTCAGCTACGAACCTTTTGGAAATACACCGCAACAATACTGGCATTTTTACTGAATCCTTGTCTATCACCTTCAAGCAATACCACTGTTAGAACTCACCAACAAATTGAGTTTGACTGTTGTTACACTATATATATTTACGTTATCGTGGCCGAATAATGTCTACCTACATACTGTAAACAGTATACTCAGCAATAAGGTATAGACCAAAATGACAAGTGATTAATACAATAATTCCACCTGTTAAAATTTGGGACCTTTTGAAATCATGAAGTCTCCGAGTATTTACACAAAACTTCCTAAAATCTATTACTTGTTAAAGTGTTATGTCCTGCGTATAACCACATAAAGCCTATACATATTACACCATGTGACGGTTCCGGTCTTCGGCACAAAAATTAATTTTATAATTTGACTGACAGATTAAATATTACAGCAAAATTGCACAACAATGGTTTTTTGATATCTTAGATCGTTTTGACATATAGATGCTTCTGGTAAACGGTTACAGATTGAATAGGTATCATTCAAAACCATATTATACCTAGCAAAATGTTCTGTGGGAGGCGGATCTTGATGCTGATGCTGTACGGCTTGTGATTTTATCAAACATAATAAACACAATATTTAAATTGTTCTAGTAGAAAAACACGAGATCTCAATAGGAAAACTTAACTAAATACTATTTATAAAGACTCTCTGAAAGCGCGATGTGAAGATCTTGGGAAAATCCAGTAGACGTTGAAAGGTAAAAAAATAGTAATAAACGGATTTTTAGTTAAACGGAAATTTTCTTTCTATTTTTATAATTGTATAGAAATCGACGACACGCCTTTTTGTAAATACACGAGAACTCAGAGTTATACATACATACGAGTTTATCAAATGTTTGATCGTATATTCACTTAATTTAAACGTCATCAGTGCCTGTATCTCTAGAAGTATTTGGTTTATGATAACAGCAAGTGTATCCAAAAGTAACAAATGCAAATATCAAGTGGGATTTGAATCAATCTAAATAAAAACGTTAATGTATTCGAATTCTCAGAGAAATGGGGCTCCGATTATCATTTTTCTAAATTCAAAGATACAAGAAACTAAGCGTTTTCACCAGTATATAAATTGACTAATTGACTAAACATAGAGCGGCACATTTCTACTTCTTTCTATAACATTATGTCTATAGTATCTTATATTTTACAACTAAAGATATGCAACATTTAAACAGTTTTACTTTTGGATCGCTTAGTTGCCTATAAAACTTTGAAACAGGAAGAACCTTAAATTGTTATATTTTTAAATGATACTATATATAAATGTATTAGTAGTTAGGACTCAGTACCAATGTGAAAATTCTCGACAAAATTGTATCTTGCTCTTTATAATCCGTAGAATAAATTTGTTGTGTAAACTGCGTCTCTGTCGGCATTGTATCATGTTTGTATTATACACCAGCTAAGATATGTCATAGCGTAATTTTTTTCAAATTTAACCGAAATTAATTATATAAATTAAAATTTTATCTGCAAAAGTTATATCGACAGTAGCTCTTTTTTGAAAAAAAAATGCGCTTTGTGGTTTTTGAAAAATAAGTGTATGTGTAGACAGTTTAGAAGCACTTTCTAATTCAACAAGTAGCGTGTGCAACGAAAACAAATGCGTTTAGTCTCTACATATTTTATTAATCTGATTATGGTTTGTTTTTCCTTAAAATAACTTGTATAATAATTGACTTATAGTGATATAGGTATATATTTCTTGGTGTTACTTCTTCCGATGATATTACACTAGATAAGTTTTAGATAACTCAAAATGTTAATAAATATCATTATTCATTGGAAATAAAGTTGGGAAAAATCGAAATATTTTATTTCTCGTCAACTACGTAAGATTTGTTTGCCTGGGGCTTAGATAAAATGGTTCGTTACGGTTCTGTCCAAAAATGTTTCCGAAAGTAGGCAACCAGAAATATATATGCATGGAAGAAATCCAATAAAAATCCCTGTAAACCTTCTAATATTGATGTATTATTTTGTAAAATTGCATCCCTTTGATCCATTTCAAGATAATTTTTACAGAAAAATAATGGAAACTATAGCAATAATTTGAGAAGCACGTTAAGCAGAATCCGGGTTTTTCAATATGTGACCAGCATCGTGTTAGAAAGAATTTTTATTGTCAGTACATTAAATAAAAAAAATACTCTTAAGGCAAATAAAAATCAAAAATCGATTGGAAATTTTGAAAAGTGTCCATTTTGATCTCCTATAGAAGTTTCTCTTTTATCGAACAGCCTCCTCGGATCGCAACCAAACCGTTCATTTCGAATTTGGCGGTACGTTACCTGTCGAACGCTGGAACGTCACGTGACCCACGCTCGCCGCCATTTCTCCGTATAAACAACGACCGGGACGGTTCGAGTGTGGTTCGTGTACAATTTGTGTTGATAAGTCGTCAAATATATTGTGAAAAATGTCCGAAGTGGATTCCGCCAACACCAACAATACTGTAGCAGAAGAAAACAGTTCGGTAAATATCTTAAGTTTTTGTTAAATTCCCGATTTAATTTTAACAACTCAAGCAATGTGCACTTACCAATGAAGTGTTGTTAGACGGTGACGGAGAATTGAGGACCTGCGTGCAAATTTTGCCATTCAATCGGGTTTTCAATGATGTTCGTTACATTCTAAGCTACTTTGGGAGAGGATTCTTGAAATCTGTATTTTTATATTTTTTACGTTATTTGGTTAATATTAAAGAGGCTTAAAATACTCAACAGTTTTACCCGGTTAAATACAATTTATTGTTTGAAATCGTGATCGATGAAAATCTCGAGAAAACGGAAAATTTTGATACGTACGCCGTGGCTTGTGGTCCAAGTAAAGCACATACGTTTAGCGTTGTCTTGCAGTCATTCAAGTGCCGGCGAGGTGGAAGTCACGTCTTTGAACGAATGTTTACATTTTGGAGGGAAACTTTAAGTGGTTACCTATGTTATTTGTTTTAAACAATTTTTTGGAAAATTTGTCTTTTCTATTCTAATTATTTGTATTTCTTTTATCCGCAGCAATTTTTGACTATGTAACTTAAATAATTATTTACTTAATTGTAGAATGAAAAAACGCCCAAGGGAAGAAAGTCTAAGTCACCAAGAACGTCTACTATAGACAAAACGCGCGAAGAAAGTGAAGCGTTAACTCCTCCAGTAGAGGGTAGGCGAATGACAAGGTCAGCTGCAAAAGGGGTAACAGCCACTCCGCCGCCCCCTGCCAAAAAGGAACGCAAGAGCAGCACTGGTCGATCTACTGGACGAGGTAGAGGGAGGCGCCCTAAAAAAGCAGCTCCTGAAGAAGATGAAGAATTACAAAATGAAAATAAAGTAAGAAGTTGCAAAATTGATATTAGTTTTCATTTACTTATTACAAAATAATGTGTGAAATAAGCACATAGTGAATCTGTAAAACATATTTTAAAAATCTTTTAGGATACTGTAGTTGCTGCTGAATCTGAAGAAAAGAATGAAAAGGAAGCCCCCAAGAGCAATGACTCTTCGGCAGAATCTTCAGAATCAAAAAAATCTGAAATAGAACCCATGGAAACAAATTCACATGACGAAAAAGATGAAACTGCAGCAAATAATAATGCAGCTGAATCTTCCAAAGTAAGTCATATTTTAATTGCTATAACATGGTACTTAACTATATATGAGCAATGTCTGTGTAATGAACTCAGAGGCTATAACTGACACTATGATTAATTTTACACTTTTCTTTGGAATTACATTTTTTATTTCTTTTTTTAAGTATGCAATTACTGTTTTTTTTTTTAATAAGAAGTTTACCTTAATTATCAACCGGGAAAATTTTGAGGAGTTTTGTTAAAAAACCAGAAGGTACGATGATTAACTCTGTTCAAGGAATTATTTTTTCTTGCATAGGTGCAAGGTGTGGATCTTGGAGTTGTGAGACATGAATATTTTAGGAATGGCTAAATGTTTTATGACGGATTTTGTGTTATTAGAATTTCAGTGATGACTTTATCTTAATTTTGCATTTTATTTAAATAAATGTAAAAAAATACATTACTCAAAGGTTTGGTTTCTTGCACAGCTAATAAGTAGTTGCCTGTTCAGTGTTGTTTCAACAAAAATACTTTTTGTAATTTCTTAGTAATTTCTTGTTAATATGTGCTGGCTGTGCTGGCATGGCTGTCAGTTTAATACTGTGATTACTTGGTTTGTTAAAATTACACCAATTATTTATCTGAAATGCAAATTTCAATAAAAGACTTATTTGGTTTAAAATTTAATAATCCATGTAAACCCCTTTTGTTGTTAATTGAATATTTATTTACACAAATCATTCTGATCATTTTCCATCTAGGTTAAGTTCCCTCAAGTGCACCATACACAACCTGAAGTAAAATTATGGAAATTTCATTCATGCCGCTTGTTTTCTTACGCTTCACGGAATAGGAAAAAATTTTAAAAAAAAAGCTCCAGCTATTCTTGTATCAAACAGGCAGGAATCCATTGTGCAATAATTAACAAAAAATCTGAACTCTACACAGAGCACAGATTTTAGCTTTAACTTGCGGAGCTTCCTCTAATTTTTATTTAGTACATTTGACAAGTTTTAACCTATGTGTATCTGTGTGGCGCTTGACGGTTTACGGTCGTCTATATTATCTTCTAATGGTATATAAAAAAGATGTTGATTGAAATTGGCATTTTATGGCTGTTGGTTATTGTATAATCCCACATAAAGCAGGATCCGTCTTAATTGGGCAAAAAATAGAGGTCTTGGTACTTACATTTTGATAATGGTGTTGAAAACAAATTTTCAGTCTCGCATGAATAGTGGCAATGTTTTTGAAGCTTGTCGTTCGTTTCAGGAACCCGAAGCCACCGAGAACGGTGCAAAAGAAGACAGTAGCGCGGACGCCGCTTCGGAAGACGAAAAGAAAGAAGAATCGAGCACAAACAATAGCTCAGAGGAGACACCCGCGGATTCGGCGGCGGCCGTAACGCCGGAAGAGGTGAACAAAGCCGAGAGTAGCAGCGATCCTGCGACGGAGATTGGCGACAAGCCAACAGAGTAAGAGGACGGTGTACGATTTAGCACGGAGAGTAGCCGGACAGAAGTGCGGGTACTCGCCACAAGAAAACAACTTTTCTAATAATAATGATGTAGGTTAAATGACATTAATCTAATTAAAAAGAGATACAAAAAATGAAAAACTTGGTTTGTATTTTTTTCTCAAGAATTAAAAACAAAAACTGGAAAACTCAATAGTAAGGTTTTTTTTTTTTAATGTTTTGTGCAAATTTCCGTGGGTGTGATTGCGGGTCGACGACAGTTTTAGGAAGACGGGGTGGGTAGGTTAGGTATCGACGTGTTCATTTGTTTTCGGGTTTTGTTTGCGGTCGGAAATTTCTGTCTGTGCCGTAATGAAACGAGATCGTTCGGTACCACGCCTACAGCGCGAACCCGAGTTTAAACTTAGTCACTGTAAAAACTTAGTTAAAATGTAGTAAGTTTAGTAATTCCTAAGCATGTGTAATCATAAATATTAAATTTAAGCGAGGTAGGACTCCCCATTTTGGTTTGCCTTGGTTATGTTATTTAAATTTTAAAAATGGATCAGTTTCAACTGGATATCACAATATTGCAAATAAAGACTTGCTATGACGCTTTCAGAATTTTATTTTGCTCGGTCCCTTAAGTGAACCCTTCTCAGACTTTTGAGAAGACCACTAGTTTCGTCCTGACCCGAAATCACACCAATATTGGGAATGGTGCAAATGTGAGCGGGAGTCGTTGCCGTTGTTAATCATTAGTGTAAATCGTCCTTTTGTATATTTGTGCTTGTTTCTCTTTAAGGTGGTGTGCACCAAAAATGAACGTTTTAGTGCAAAAAAAATTACTCAATATGCGTCACAAGAGCCAGTCCTCAATTAACTTACTGTTTTAATATTTATGAGCATTAAAAAAGCAATAGTATAGGACCTGAGAGAATTCAGTCTTTAAGTTATATTTATGAGCATTAAAAAAGCAATAGTATAGGACCTGAGAGAATTCAGTCTTTAAGTTTGTGTAAATGTCTACAAAACATTTCAGGTTAGACAAAACTAACCAAAATGATTTTATCATTTTTTTCTTTAGTAACCAAAATTAACCAGGCAAACTTGCGCTTCTAGTGAAAAGTAATGTAAAAAGAATCAACATTGTCCATGTTTTTTTTTGGTTTCAAGTTAATAATAAACGAGTTTTCATACATTATTGGTAAATGGCTGTGGAATAAATGTTCATTCGCCAACTATGTATAGAAATACATTTTTGACATGTCCATTACTGAGGTGAAAAAACTAACTTTTCATAATTTCCTTCGCCGTGCTGCTAAACTCCCGTGACATATAGATTAATTTTTTTTTAATTATTTTTTGATGCACGTCTCCTTTTAATGGCAACCGACTGCAATATTTGTTCCATTTTCTTTTGTTTTATTAGATATTGACATGTTACGCTCTAATAATAATGCCAGTTTTCATCTTTTACTCCCAACGATTTGTTAAATTTTTGGATTATTAAAGTCACAAGGTGAGGTTTAAGTTCTTGTTAATTGATCTTCCTGTACGATTTTTACAATAATCCATACGATTCAAATTAATATTAATTGGTTAATTTAAAGGATTTTCCTGGCATACATTCATTTGGTTGCTGGCAACTAAGTTATTAACTATTGGCAAATTTTTCAAAAATAATAAACAAATTCAAGATGCGCCATTAGAATCTCATTAACAGATAGCTTTAATTGGAAGTTAAACAATGAAAAAATACAGAGTTTTTTGAGAGTTGAGTTTTGGTCACCATATCTCCAAAAGAACGATCTTGACTTCAAATTATTGCTTGTCTGGTCTGCTTTGGGCAATGTATCAGGTGTTTAATTTTAAAGGTGTTTTGTTCTCATTTCGAGACAATTTAATTTAAAATATGCAAAAAAAAATCAATCGCAGGGACAAATTGGTTCATTTAAAGGATTTTCCTGGCATACATTCATTTGGTTGCTGGCAACTAAGTTATTAAGTATCGGCTAATTTTTCAAAAATAATAAACAAATTCAAGACGCGCCGTTAGCATCTCAGTAACAGATACAAGAATTTCATTAAATTGTTTTTATTTCGAGACAATTTAATTTAAAATATGTAAAAAGATCAATAGCAGTCGTACTAGTTGCGCTCTGAAAAACGTGGCTAGCGGTGCCTCTCGAAAAGTAATCTTCACACAAAATTCAAAAACGAAATCGTAATTCATCGTAAAAAAAAACTCCCATGACTTAATTAAATCATTTTATTCAATGCCAATGACAAATATTACAAGCAAAGAAAGTGCTACAAATTATGCAAGTAATATTAAAATTGCATATAATGCAATAAATCTTACGGAGTCATTTTTCTGAAAACAATGTTTGATTTGCTTCTATTTGTAAATCTGCTTAATCGTTTTTTTTTTCAGATGGTTTTTTTTTAATTTGTTATATTGTGGCATTTTTCATGGCTAATATATCAAACCTGATATTATCTCTGGTGTATCCTAAACAAACATTTAACTAATTTTTAAAAATTATGGGACTTTTTGACCCAATTTTTTTAAAAACATATTGGTTTTACAAGTTGTTAATATAAAACTACATTTGAATCTCCCAAAAGGAAAAGGGCTAGGTTTCTCATAAAGGCTTAGAGGTAATAAGGTTAACCAAAGGTTTAATTGCCTTACAAAAAAATTTGTTACAAAATCACTTCAGATATGATAAAACAAATTTGGTATTTTTTTTTAAGAACCTTGTCAGTATGATGTATATAGTATATTAATGGTAGTGATCTATGTATATAGTATTACTAAACACTTCCTACATGGATGGCACTGGTTCTTCTTAAAACTTGCTGATATGCTGATATTTGATATTGCCGAGTTCAGAACGTGTCACTACAGAAAAGTAACACTGCTCTTCAGACTTGTAGATTTTGTAAAAAATTAGACTCTTTATTTAAGTCTCTCAGTTGCTGTTTTTGTTTCCTTTTTTTTGCCGACATAAACCGTTTTTCGTTCTTTTCAGTTTTGGCTGCACTTTCAAACGTTTTTGAAAATATCTCGATTGTAGTCTTGTGTTCGTATTTTATAGACTTGTAGTAATAGGTATATTTTTTTGACACAGAATTGAAAAATAACGTCTTATTTTATATTTAGGTAATAATCTACACTGTACGGTTACATCAATGTGAAAAATAAAAAAATCATTAGACCTTAGAATGTCCCTTTAATTGTTACCTGTTTAATGGATTCAATTTATTTTTTTCCGACGACGCTATGAAAATAAAAATGTAAGAAATCATTATTTTTACTGCACATAGGTGCATCGCTAACCAAATAGTTTTTCAAATAGATAATGCTTACCCAAGCATTACATATATACCTAAAAGATTTCTAAACAGGAAATTCTCCAAATCCCTACATTTCGACATTTTGTTCTAACCAACATGCACTGCAAAGATAAACTGCAGCTTGTCTAATATACATAGTTCTAAACTGAAAAAGGCGCCATCTACTCCTAAATAATTGTCACGAACAGTTGGTTGCCTACATCAGACGGTTGGGGCGAAATTTCTCAATTAAAAATACATAATACTAATAATATAATTTAAAATGATTTATCCGTTTATAAAAAAGTTAACTTATCCTTATCCTCCGGTAGCATTCATCTGGAGAAAAAAAGATCAAAAGCTCAATTTATTCCGACATTCCACTCAGAGTTTATTGATTGGTGAAACCCGTAAAAAATTTCTTGAAACCAGTCCCACCAACGGCAACAAACAAAACATGAAAGAAAACATTTGAAACAGTTTCTATCGAGATGGCGTACGGTATAGAGCTATCGTGACGTTTATAGTCGGGGGTATTGGTACTTTAAGCTGATAAGTTTAAATAATCGCGGCTAAAATAAATTAGATTTAACGTCTAACTGAAAAATTAATATTGTTAGTGTGGGAAAGGTATGATTTGTGCCGCGTATTCTTGAGAAGGTAAGCAAAAATTGAATTAATACCAAATCCAGTTGATTTGATTTAGTTTTTTTTTTCAATTGGGTACTTCCCTTGTGAAATATTATCATTTTAAGAATATTATGTCATTTGCTATTACGCATTCCTTTTTTCTAGCTAAATTGAAATTTATTGGGTCATATTTTATTTTGATCCTGCTTTATAATGTTTGGAAAATTTTTGGGTTATTTCTCGACAAAATCTTACCTGAATACACCTAGGCTATGATTGGTCGATTAATGTCATCTTTCGTATTTGAAATATTTATTATCGAGATACAGTTTTGAGAAATAAATAAAAGAGATACTATAGGAAAATTTAAACATGGGTATTCTCTCTCCTTTTTGCTTAACAAAAGTATTTCAATACTGCACACGGTATTTTTAGAAAAATTGGAGTACTTATTTGGCTAAAACAATTGTTTGTCGGTGAGAAAGGTCCCCCAAAAATCTTGGCAAAGTTGATCTTGGATTTTTAATATGAATATTACTTTCATGATTGCTTTTACATAAAAGTTCGATAGAAATATATTGCTTATTCTTATGGTTTATGGTTATTACTTTAATATAAAATTGGGCTTACTTCTACAAAAACCTAATATTTTCCTTCCATTTAATGGAATTTTTGTTTAATTAACTTGTTTTCTTTTGCAAACTGTAGCTTCATTTTTCAGACTCATCTCGCATTTTGAGTTATCTTTAAAGTATTGATTGATATTCCGCATGATATATTTTGTGTAAGTGAAGTTAAATATTGAATATGTTAAAAATACCATTAGAATATATAGTTCATTAAAATGACTGAACTTAAATCTAGTGCCACAGATATGATAAGGTCAACGTTCTACCTGACTACCAAATATTTAATTGGTACCAAATAGCTACTACACCAATCAACTTTTTTTTTGTAAATTGTTAACTAAAAATTGTAAAAACATACGTTGTTTGTATAGTATAAATTAAATTTGTCAGGTAGAGCCTTTTCTAGCTTGAGATTGAACAATTACGAAAAACTAGAATTGTAAAATGTAAATTCGTATGCTAATTTACGATTGCGCTGAAAACTATTAATGAAATAACCTGTACCAAAAAATATCTTGATAAATTGATGCGCATTTGGTGCCAATGCTATTTTCGTAGAAAAGAGAATAATTTTCCGCGCATGCCTATAGATTTCACACACTAACCTGTGTTTTGCGCCATTTTCTTTTTAAACACGCACTAAACTCATTTTTTCAGAACATTTAACGAAATTTGCCGTTAAAGCACAGCATCTACATCGACATAAGCTGAAACTTGACAAATTGACGAACTGTCAGCGGCCATATTGGCTGTTGAAAGCTGCTAGGTCTTGTTAGTTGGGATGAAATGACATGTGTTATTGGTTGAAAGTTCTTTTTTCATTGTCGCGTCGCGTATTATCAGCATAGCAGGGCCTAAGTAATATTTAGTAGCTATATTATATAACATAATTTTCTTTTAATTGGCATTTTTCAATTAAACGACAGTTAATTAAATACGTGAACCTATTTCAAGGCACAAGAAAGTTGTCAACGATTTTAGTGTGTTTCGTAAGGTATAAATTTAGCATTTTCGTTTTAATTAAAATCGGATAGCAATTACTCAAAAATAGCCCAAGACTTTACGCCACTTAGGTGATCTTGACGATGTTTTAACGACTAATTGGCAAAACTTTGTTGCGCATTAATGATCGCAATATTCCCACATGCACCTTTTTATTGTTATAAATAAGTTATAAGGAAGGAAGCCATGCAGTCTGTCCAATTTTGTTGGGATCAAATATCTTTATGCCAACAACACAAAGACTAATTTTGTGAATTAATGTAAGAACAACAGACGCTCAATTTAAAAGCCACCAGGTGAAATATTGACTGAGTTTTAGATATAAGCAGAATTATTAGAAATTTTTTAAGGGACGCCATCGCTTCCCGCATGAAAATTATATGTTTCTCTCAGATATATACATTGTTTCTTACAGCCTGTAAGCAATGTAGAACTAGTGCCAGTATGCAGAAGCTAGAGACCAACGAGTCAATGGGGTCTAAGAGAGATAAATAATAGTTTTGCCCAGGAACCGATGACGTCACTAATAAACTGAACCCTATTCGTGGCTTTTTTGAAACAGAGAAAGTGCGATAGAAAGTCTTATGGCTCTCAAAGTCGGGATGGTGAGCGGAAAATCGGACGTTGAAAGTTTTTTTATACATTTTTTATAAATTTAAATAAATAAAAATTACATTTTCTAGATTATTTCCTATTTTACAAAGAGATAGATATAGATTTCTATCGGATATCCATATAGTTCCACAGTTCTCCATGGATATCCAATGGAGATTTGTATTTCTCAGTCTCTTTAATTCCGATCTTTGCAGTACCAAAAAATCCGCAATCCGCAACGGCATTTGACTAACTAGTTTATTTGGCACGAGCGGAGCGCAGCGGAGCAAGTTTTTAATAAACGAGTGAGTTAAAAAGTTTACCGAACGCATTGCATACGCAAAACACGAATACATTCACTGACATGAATGTCAGAAATGACAAACGTCAAAATTCAAAGCGTGGGAAATATCTCCGAAAACATCCGATTGCTTCCAAACCCGTGCGGTAAAATCTCGAAAATGTCCGAAGTCGCTCGAATTCGTGGGAAACGAAACTGACGTGGTAAAGTGACGCTTCCCGCACGCTAGATCGGTGCGTAATTGGGTATTTTACAGACGGGAGTAGAAAAAAATATTTATAGCATAGTACTAGATTTTACTTTTGAGCAGATATCCTAAATCTTATTAATTGTATTTAATGCACGTTTACAACAGAAACCAACAAAATAAAGCTGCACGCCGTCCCATATCGAAAAAGTAATATTCTTTCCAATGGTGGATGTTTTCGAGAATCGGTAAAGCTGCGTTAACCCGGAGTGCCCGTGGGACCTGTTATTTGTTATTAATTTTCTTTTATTCCGAAGCCTGTACGTGACATTCGCTAAAACACACAAAATATCGGTTTAATTTAAATTTTCCATCATGTCGGAACTGTCACGTCCATAAGCTTGGGCAAAATCCGTCTCTTCAGTATAAAAATACGATTTTAATGCGACCGGAAGTGCAAAATGGGATTTTAACGTTTCTATGCGAGCGAAATAAGGAAATTTTACAAATGTTGTAATGTTGGCTTTAGTAGATCCCAGGTCTAGACAATAATGAAACACCTTTGTTCACACAAACAGAGAAAGTTAATTGTAATTATTTTAACTTGTAATTATTTTACTTATGGGCAATGGATAAATATCAGTAAGAAAAAATTGGAAAAAAATTTAATTGTAAATTATTCATATTTTTATTCCGACTTTATTTAGAGGGATGTTTTAAAGTTAGTTTAAAATTGCCGTAGTAAGATTTTCTAATCTATCAAGATGATGGGTATTATATTTGAAGCCCGACGTAATCGTAACTTTAACCTTTGCCGACATTCCTAGTATAGCTAGTATTTCCAACATAAGAATGGATAGAGGTAGGGGATATGCAGAAACAAATTTGGTTAGTTTTGAAAAATTGTTTTTCCTATAGACTAATTTGAGAATGGATTTTGACATCAAAATCATTTTCATTTACTGACGGTTGCGAACATCATCAAACTGGGACTTAGTCGCTTATTGTTCTGTAATCGCCTCGTCTAAACCATTTGCAAAATGTCCTTACCTGTTTGTCTAATATAATATTTAGGACGTGATCCTCATTTCAACCTGTAGACACCTGATTCTTGAGTTTTTGGACACTTAGTTTTATTGTTTTTTAAAAATTTTTTAATTGTTTTCTTAGTTCTGAAAGCTATTTTTAAACCACATTTTGACAAATGTTTTGAAACTTTTGCACTAGGTTCTCCTATGTAAGTAATTGTCCATTACATTCAAAATAATTTTGCAGTTATAAATTTATATTGGACAAACAGGTAGATCCATAAAAGAGCGTTTAAAAACAATAGTCTAGATTCTAATTATGCTATACACAGAAAAACACATTTTTGACGACAATTTTCATATTTTACATACGATAAGATACGGTGTTGTCGAAACATTTGCCATGTGAATATCTGTAAAAATCTGAAATTTTAGTACTTATTTATTTTGTTAAATGAATTTTCATCAAGTGAAAGCCTCTTAAGTTCAAATTAATATTTTAATTAAGAACAGTGGATTAAGTAGGGCCGATAAACCTAGTATAGGAATATTGATTAGCTTAGGGACAATTTATATCTTTATTTTTCAAAACTCACTTAATCTGCAATTGAAAAGAAGAAGAAAATATCTGGTGCCATTTTTGGAATCAGAATATGAAAAACATTTAAAATCGGTTGGTGGGTTTCCGAAACTTTTTTTAATTAAGTATTAATAAAATTAACTAAAGCTGTCATAGTAACCATTCAATAATTTTTAATGTTTTCTTTTTAATTTAAGTAACGTTCTTTTTCGATGATTATTACGTATTCCGGTTGGTGACTATTTTTATTCTCACGAATTAGTTATAGCTACAATCAAAAAAATTAATTTCTGTTGACATGAATTTTTTTTCCGGAAGCGGTACCGGCGGTACTGAGCCCAGTCGTCTGTGACTGCATTTGAACGGCCCCGTTTTATTTGCTAACTGGCCATTTTTGTGCATCCGTTCTGTCTCTCGTCGTCAAAAGGATCGTTAACCGCTGCAAAGGACAATGAAGTTTACAACGCTAATTAGGAGATTTATTTTTGATGGGCTAAATTAACAATTAAACAATTGTACAAGCTTATTGCCTCTAAAAACCGTTTCCGGTGGAACCGTTCGGGGGGGTTGCTCGGATAATGAAGTTAAATTATGATCTGTCGAGAAATGTCTCACCCGAGATTACTTATTATGGGTACCTATATATTATCTTAAAAGAAAGACGTCTTAATTCTTATAACGCTTTTATGATAAGTTTAAGATGACCATG